CAGGTGGGGAGGGGAAAGCTGTGATCGCTTCTTCCTGCATCCCAACGCCTCCCCTCCAAATAGCATCTCATTGCAGGTTAGGACTTGAATGAATTTGGGGGTCAGGAGAAACACATATTCATCCAGAAAAGAAACAGAAGATTCTGGGCTGAAGCTCGTGTGAGTCTTACCATACTAAATCAGAGAAAACCAGAGAGGCAGATGAAGCCACAAAACGGAGATTTCTCACCGATATCCTGGAGTGAGTGTATAGCCTGGGAGAAAGCAAAGGGGAATTAGCTGGGATTAGAAGCCCATGTTCCCAAAGGAAGTGCTCAGCAAGGGTGGAACATCACCCAGCTTCTGTTCTCCTGGGCACCAGGACAGACTGCGGTTGAAGCGCCAAAGCCTGTCCTGCTCAAAGGCACTGGACACCTTACTCAAAGGCAAAACACCGCAACTGCTTCAGTGGGGTGAATCGGGAAAAGCCGTTTCTCTGCAAGCCCTGCAGGACTCTTGGGATATGACTCAAGCGGGCCTTCCTTGAACAAAACAGTAAGCAATAAGATAAGTAAGGGCTCCAGTTCAGACTTCCCTGTGAATGTATTAAATGTGAACAGCTCACCTGGCTACTCGGTCTTGAAAAGTCACGGCTTTCCAGATAATGTACCTGCTTGTTCTCACTCAGTTCTTAAAATGACCTCATGACAAATACGTTCATCCCACTGTTCCCATGACAGAAACCTGGGGCTCAGCTGAAACTGAAAGCGTGGGTCACATCTTTCTGGTTGACTATATGTCCCTTGATCCTAGCACAGCAAATTGAGTTAATATGCAATAAATACTGATTAATTGGAGGGGGGGGCGGGGAGGAGAAGAGAATTTCTACTCCCACTGGCTAGGCAAGGCAAAGCCAGAAATCCGGAACTCCATCAAGGTCCATGGGTGCAGGGGCCCAAATACTCAGGCCATCTTCCACTGCATTCCCAGGAACATCAACAGGAAATTGGATCAGAAGTAGAGCAGCTGGGACTTGAATCAACACTCAGGTGTGATGTTCGCATTATTGGCAGTGGTTTAACTTGCTGTGCTGCAATGCCAGCCTCTCTGTCTTCTTCCACACAATCAGTATTTTTATCTGGCAGTGATCAACTTGGTGCATGGAGCCGATAACCACACACGTGGACTACCACTGATGTTCAATAGCTCAAGTTTATTAACAGCATCAGACTTTAAAGGATTGAGGGTCGCAAAGGCACAAGGGAAATGTAAATGAGGCATTTACATTTCTTTTTATTTTACAAATTTTTTTAAAATTTCTTTTATTCTTATCGGAAAGTCAGATATACAGAGAGAGGAAGATCTTTCGTCCGATGATTCACTCCCCAAGTGCCCACAATAGCCGGAGGTGTGCTGATCTGAAGCCAGGAGCCTCTTTGAGGACTCCCACATGAATGCAGGGTCACAAAGCTTTGGGCTGTCCTCCACTGCTTTCCCAGGCCACAAGTAGGGAGCTAGATGGGAGGCAGGACCGCCAGGATCAGAACCGGCGTCCATATAGGATTCCGGTGCGTGCAAGGTGAGGACTTTTGCTGCTAGGCTACTGTGTCGGGCGCAAGCCTCTCCAATTTGTAAAGCAGATGTATCAATGCAAAGACATCAGTTCTGAGCGCTTGACTGTACGTAAGACTCTCTCCTTTCAGATTCACTCGCTTTTCTATCACAAAATGATCTCTATGCATTATTACAATTTGCTCACTGCCTGTCTTTCTGTGTGCTCTCTAATGAGCTTGTCTATCTTATTCTCCACACTGCACAAAATCAAGCATGGAGTAAACCCTTTCAGTGCTTGCTAAATAAATCAATGAATACAGCCTTTGGCGTGTGTCCACTGCCCAGCTCAAGAGCATGATTAAAGAACTGCTGGAAGCCTCTAAAACCAACAAGGTCTCATCTTTAGCTTGATTGTCCCAATAATCTCATTTGCAGGATTAGTTTTTCTTAGTTTTTCTTAGTTGTTTTTTTTTTTTTAACTGGAAAGTCAGATATACAGAGAGGAGGAGAGACAGAGAGGAAGATCTTCCGTCTGATGATTCACTCCCCAAGGGAGCGCAATGGCCGATGCTATGCCGATCCAAAGCCAGGACCCAGGAACCTCTTCCAGGTCTCCCACATGGGTGCAGGGTCCCAAGGCTTTGGGCTGTCCTCGACTGCTTTCCCAGGCCACAAGCAGGCGAAGTGGCTCTGGATGGGAAGTGGAGGTGCCGGGATTAGAACCAGCACCCATATGGGCTCCCGGGCACGTTCAAGGTGAGGACTTCAGCCGCTAGGCCACGCCGCTGGGCCCAGTTTTTCTTAGTTTTAGACCTATATTAACCCAGAAGGAATAAGACTAAGCATTGTGGGCTGTCTGTGGTTTGCCCTCTAACTTCATGCAATCTTGCAAAGTAGGAACGGTGGGAACCATTTTGCCTGTGAGTAAACAGAGGTCCACTTACCCCTCTGAAATCCCCATTTCTGCCATCACAGCGTCTTTCTCAGTGTGCAAGGACACACTCAAACGTGACTATTTGCCTAATCCCACATTTCTCACCTGTCTGACAGCTCTGAGAACGGCTGAGCTGTCTGCAGGTGCTCAGGACAGAGCCAGGCCAGGATGGGTATAATGTGAAATCCCGGTGCCTTGGATGCAAGCATGAGGCAAACGCTCAGTGGGTGAAGGAGGGAAGGACGGCAGGTGTCAGAGAAGCCCGGCTTCTCCCAGTGTTTTTCTGATCCACAGCCGCCATTCGGAGGGAACCGCTGCTCTCCACAAGGAGGAGAAGGAGAAAAGAGACCAGGACGTCCGACGGGGTTTCCCAACGCAAAGCGCCTACCTGACGCAGGGAGTGCAGCTAGCGAGGACTGTGATGAATGGGGCATCCTCACAGCTGTGTGCGCCAACCCCATTCCCCGTGACAAATGTATTCTGCAGATTAAATGAACAACACAGCGTTTTTGCGTGCTTCACGGTTGGCAGTTACATTCCAGGAAATTTGGTTTTTGACATTGAATGAAGATTCCGGGAAGAAATAAATAACTCTGGAAGAACCTGTGACTATGTCTCCAGATGGTTTTTTTGCCTCCTGTCAGCAAAACCAACAGGGTACACAGCCTATTTAAATGTAAATTTCAATGAGCCAGTTTTCCCCTCCCCTCCGCCCTTTGTTCCTTGCCAGGAGGAAGTTCCAGGAGGTACAGACACATCATTCTCCAATATACCCATCTGTAGGTGTCTGGGGGTTATTTGGTTCTGTGTTTAGTTTTATGAAGCACCGTGGGATTTAATATTCTTTCTCCAGTTACGGAGGAGGGAACGTAGGAGGACTTTGTGACCCTAGAGGGTCAGCGAGCACAGGATTACAGCTGATTGGGTAATATTTGCATGAGAACAACCGAATGGCTACCTTTTGTATGGGATATCATTTGTATCCGAACAATTGAATGGACAGTATGTGTGTGAGAACACTTGGTGGAATATACAAGACAAAAAGAGTTCCAAACAAGAGTATGAAAACAGTTGATGGGTTTTGTTGCTAAGCTCAATACCTCCTCTCTTGAGCCCTGCAGCATGGCCTAGTGGCTAAAGTCTTCCCCTTGAACAGGCGGGATCCCATACGGACGCCGGTTCTAATCCCAGCAGCTCCGCTTCCCATCCAGCTCCCTGCTTGTGGCCTGGGAAAGCAGTCGTGGGTTACCCAGAAGTTCCTGGCTCCTGGCTTCAGATCGGCATAGCATTGGCTGTTGCGCTCTCCTGGGGAGTGAAACATCTTCTCTGTCTCTACTCCTCTCTGTATATCTGCCTTTCCAATAAATAAATAAATCTTTAAAAAAAAATACCTCCTTTCTTAACCAATATAACCCTCAATGTATAAAGTTTGATGCCACTAATAAACTTCGGCTTTGACCATCAGTCAGGGTGCACCCGTGTTATTATTGGCTCTGTGCACCAAGTCCATCACTGAAACACAAGACAGGGCCCAGCACAGTAGCCTGGCAGCTAGTCATCGCCTTGCATGCCCAGGGATCCCCTATGCCCAGGGATCCCCTATGGATGCCAGTACTAATCCCAGTGGACCCACTTCCCATCCAGCTCCCAGCTCCCTGCTTGTGGCCTGGGAAAGCAGCAAAGGACAGCCCAAAACCTTGGGACCCTGCACCCGGGTGAGAAACCCAGAAGAGGCTCCTGGCTTCTGGCTTCAGATCAGCTCAGCTCCAGCTGTTGTGGTCACTTGGGGAGTGAATCACAGGACAGAAGCTCCTCCTCTCTATGTCTCTCCTCCTCTCTGTATATCTGACTTTCCAATAAAAATAAATCTTAAAAAGAAAAGGGCCCAGCAGCGTGGCCTAGCGGCTAAAGTCCTTGCCTTGAACGTGCCCGGGAGCCCATATGGGCGCCGGTTCTAATCCTGGCAGCTCCACTTCCCATCCAGGGCCACTTCGCCTGCTTGTGGCCTGGGAAAACAGTCGAGGACGGACCAATGCTTTGGGACCCGACCCTGCACCCGCGTAGGATACCCAGAAGAAGCCCCTGGATCCTGGCTTCGGGTCGGCACAGCACCGGACGTTGCGTTCACTTAGGGAGAGAATCATCGGACGGAGGATCTTCCTCTCTGTCTCTCCTCCTCTCTGTATATCTGACTTTCCAATTAAAAAAAAATAAATCTTTTTTTCTTAAAATAAATGTTTAAAAAGAAAAGAAAACACAAGGCAAAACTTGACTGCAGTTCTTTAGCGCGGGGTTAGGGGGAGGATGCACCCGGCGCCCGCTCCTCCTCAGCTGGGGACGCCGTTACCAGGCAACTCCTAGCGTTCTCAACCGCCGCCCCAGGCTCGCTGCTCCACCCCCTTCACCAAGGAGACCGACGCTCCCTCTCAGCCGTGCCGTAAAGCCTCGCGCTCTCACGACACCGCCGCGCCTGCCGCCGCTGCGTGCGCGCCCTCTGCCCTTACCTCCACTCTCCGCCCCTGCCGCCATTGCCTCGTGCCCGCGCCGGTCGGTTGGTGGCGCCTTTGTCCTACGGCGGGCAGGTGGGCTGAGGCGGAGGCGGCGGCGGCGGGCCTGAGGCGAAGGAGCAGCCGGAAGCCCGCCGCGCTGGTAGCGGTGAGTGCCGGGAAGCGGCGGCTGTCGGCCGCGGCGTGGGGCGGGCTGCCGGGCCCGCGGGGGTCGAGGGAGCCGGGCCTGGCGGAGGCGGCGAGAGGGCCCGCTCGACGCGCGGGTGCGCGCGCGGGGCTGCGCATGCCCGGGGCGGGGCGCGGCCGTCCCCGGCTGCCGGCGTCCCGGGCCGCGGCGGCCGCTCTGTGCGTGGACAGCCGTCGGTCCGGCGCCGCCGAGGCGCCTCTGTGGGGCCAGGGCCGCGCACCCGCGTCCGCCTTTGCAGCGACGCGCCCCGTCGTCGCTCGCCTGCGGGGCCTCGGCGGACCGGTGGCGCAGTAGGGATTCGAACCGGGTTCCGGAGGCCGGTGGCTCGCTTTCCCTCTCCCAACCCGTCGTCCCCGGGTCGCAACCTCGCGGAATCTCCTTGTCTTGTGCCGACTCGCCCCCTTTCCCCGTCACCCCCTTTATAGACGCGGGAGGAGGGCAGGAAGCGGTGGCCCAGGCCACCCCGAAAGGAGCGATCGGACCCGCTTAGGAACGGCCTTACCCCGGCTCTCCTCCGAGCGTTTGCCCAACCCCTTTTCCGCGTTACCCTCCGTCATGATTGGTGCTCCGGGTTTACCTAATTGTGAATTTTTTAGATTCTTGAAACAGACTCACTCTCTGCTTCTTATATACGTTTGTCTAAAAAGGCGGAACCCTTCATCACAAGCCGTATCATGGAAGTCAGTTATTTTTCGAATGCAATTTTTTTTTTACAATAACAACAATAATAATAAATGCTTGTGTGTTGCAAATCAACGGTGCGTCCTTGTTCCTCCTGAAGTTATTGTGCGTCCCCCGCTTTTGGTGAACGCTGCCCTTAGGAATCGGGGTAAAGGGGGTCGTCCTGGCTTTCGCTCCGCGTAGACTGTGTTGTTCACCCCAGACCTCCAGTGCCCTGGGATCTTGGGGGGCTCTGGTTGTCACCCACCACCAGTGATTGGTGAGCACCTGGGGCGCCACCTGAGGTTGCACAGTGCGGTGGCTCTGTGCAGGCAGTGGCGGAGCTTTTCGGGGTGCTGTCGCCGCCTTGGGACCGCTGGGGGTGGGCGATCTCGCGGCTCTCCCCTCACGTCATCTTCCTCCTTCGTGTTGGTGTCTCGGCTGGTCTGTCGCCTTCCATACGCACTGTGACACTGTCTCCGTGAGAGGGTGCGCTTGGAGAAAACATATTACAGGGCCCAGCGGAAGGGGGTTTTCTAGGGTAGGTTGCCAAATGTCGCCTGCCAGGGAAACACCACCTGGGAAGGAAGTATTGACCAGCTACAAGCCAATAGCCCAGATAGTGCCAGAGCGGTAGAATCCATTCAAAGAAAAGTTGACTGAAGCCATTTGGGCTCCCTCACTCTCTCCACTGGTGACACACATACACACACGTGGACACGTGGACACACACATGCACGCACACACTAAAAAAAATCCATATTGCTCTGGGAGGTAGAGTTTGCATCCGGCTAAGGTCTGATTCTATTCAGATTTCTAAGCAGTGTTATGTAGGAAAGTAAGTTTGGTTTTATTCAAGAATCAGTGTCAGAGCTCCAACAGATAGAGCCTCTTGTAATAGTGCCTAAAAACTCAGAAATAAACGTGTTTTATAAGTCCAATGAGAAAAGGTTTGACAGTTTCAAACAATTTTATTGGTTTAGTTTTTTTTTTTTTATGATGTTTACATGGTGGATCGGGGTGGGAAGGATCAAGGTTTAGGGAAAATTAGGTGGACTCATTGTTTCCAAATTTGGTATTCTTGTTCCTGGGGGAAGGGGAGAGACAGAAGGGGAAGACCACTCAGGACTTTCCACACGCCCAGTACCCAGGGACGAGGACCCGCCACCTCATATCAACCCAGAGTCTCAAATTGTGCCTATTCCGAGGGTTCTGTCCGGGTGTTTGGATAGTTCTGAAATGCTGCCGATTTCACTGATCTGAGGATGATGTCACCCTCCCAGTGTCCATTGGCTGACATAGGAAAGCCTCAAGTCTCCATTCACCAAGTTTTTTTTTTGCTGTCATCCTTTGGGTTAGTCGTCCAGTTTGTTCTGTTCTTCCGCTGTGGCATCAAATGAGCCTGTGTCCACTGCTCCGCCTTTTTCATTAAGTAGGACGTGTTCTTGCAGGTGAGCCCAAGGACCCGAGCCAGGCATCCCAAGTCTCTGCGGATCCCCCACCCCTGGGGCTCACAAACTTGGCACCCCCTGACAGGCTGGCCCCAGGATCCGGGCCAGGTGACCTGAACCCAGCCAGATTCCCGACCCCTGTCAAACAATTTTAAATAACGGTGGCAGGCACTCCCTATCTGTGGCCTGTAGGTGGCAGTGCTTTTGTAGGCTTGTTACTGTGAAAGTTACTGAAATATGCTTGTGCTTTTTAATAATGGAGAAGTCTTTAAAAAGAGACACATGATGGGTACCTATCGGGGGACATATACTTACTTTTTGTTCCCTTCAATTAGTTTCTTCTTTTTGACTCCTCACATGAAGAAGGCAGCTTCTAAACTCATTATTCTTAGCAATAATAATAGCAGCTAGCAGTGTTTGTGGTGAATTTCAGCTTATTGGCACCTGGCAACCATCTTGTCAACTGTTATTATGTATTTTTTCATACATAAAGAGATAACATATTCAGGGCATTATTTTTAGAGAAGAAATTTCATCATGGTTAAGCACAGACGGAACATGTTGAAGCCCAGTGGGATCCTTAATCTAGAACTTTTGGAGACTTTGATGTAAACTTGTGTGATGTGGATCGCGGTGAAGGGAAGATTGTTTATGGTGGACGTCCTGAGGAGCTAGTGTCCCTCTCAGATGGACTGCCCTTCCTACGATGCTGTTTGCCCCTTCTGCCTTGGGATTCCCTGTGTCTTGTAAGGCACAGCTTGTAAGGCTCAGTGCCACCCTTCTTGTCCCAGGAGAACGGCCTGTGAACAGCGGAGTTAGCCCGTCCACAGGGTAAAGGGAAATGCGTGGTAAACACTGAGGTTGTGTGCTGCTGTCACCAAGGAGAGGCCTGAGTGACAGATCAGTTCAAGGCCACTGCCTAAGCCATTGCACAGATGCAATACCAAGTATACTGACAGCTGAATATAGAAGTGCAGCGTGCCTGCTGCCTCTTAGATGGTGGTTTTATTTGTCCCAGATAGGAATATTTCTGGGACTCGTCATTTTCATTCTTACCACCAAAAAATTAAGAGCTGTTAGACTAACTAGACCAGTCATTTTTATGTTACGAAAATAACTCTTAGGAATCAGAATCTGTTTTCTGGGCCGTAGGACTCTTCCCTTTATGCCTTTATTTTGCATTTAAAGCTTTGTTAACTTATAAAAAGACAGGACAGCCCTGGGCAGGGCCCAGACAGTTTTTAAGTTGCAGTAGAAAACAGGTCATTTATCTTGAGTTTCATGGGCCTGGAGTGATTGAATTACTAAAGATTAGATTGATCCTGCAGCTAATGGGCACGAATTTGAGAATTACGGATTATAAGCAATTTGGCTTTAAGTGAAATATGCTTACATTTATAGCAATTACAGATTGAAATAATAGTAACCTATATTTAGGGTCAGAAAACACAAGATACTTTTAATCTTTTAAAATTATCATTATACAAAAGACAAAAATTAGGAAAGCACAATTTTCATCAGATTTTAAAGCTTGTAACTATGAACATGACTGAATCTTTTGCAGCCTCTGATAAATTTAGGACAGTATTTAACAAACTATAACCACCCCCCCCCCCAAAAAAAAAGGTTTTTGTTTTTGTTTTTTTCAGTTGCTAGAGCAGCTTGTCTGAAATGTAGATGCTTGGGTGTGGTCCCTCCCCTAAGCTGACTGAAGTGTGAAGGTGAAACTCAGGGAATCTGCCTTTTAAGTTAGAAATTTAAGAACCCCTGATTTTTAATGAGTTTTCATAGGAAATAGAAGGTGGAATCAGATTTAGTGCTAATTTGTTCATATCGCAGATGACTGATGCAAAGATCGCAGAGTGCCGATGCTGCAATTATGCTTGCGCTTACGTTAAGTGGTTTGTTTTAAGCGAGACTATAAAATGTTTTTGGTTTTATAGTTGGAACTAGAAGTAAAAGAAATAATTGAACTATCTGGCTTTTGGTATTTCAGTACCTTCCGTTCATATCATTAGGATACTTTTAACTTCTTGAAAACAAAGATTTGCATGGTCTGCTTATTGGCTCCAGATTTGCTGTAGTTTGCTGTTTGCTGTGTGGCTATAGCATCCTACGTGTGACTTGCCCTTTGGCCAAGAGTTAGTTGAGTTCTGTCCCCACTAACGGGACAGAATTCACAGCTTAGGTTTGCAAAATGTAAAGAGAACTGTACTTTTTCCCTCATAACCAAGAGGTGAATCATACACTCTCCATTTTCCATGCCTTTTTATAACTAAGTAATTGGAAAAAGCTTAACTTTTCTGGATACTTTTTAAATGATTAAATGAACCTAAAGAACTGAAGGAAGCCTTGACAGGCTATACATTGCCCCTGTGGAGTAGTCAGTGACCTCATAATTATTTGTTTTTATCAACCATAACACAAAGAAATTTTTTAAAAACTTTGGCAACTCTAGAAACGTGGCTGGTGATTACCTTTTTTCTGTGGAGACAACAACAGCATGGTTATGCTTTTCCTACTGGTGTGTGTGTTTGCTGCCTTTAGCCTTTGCCACAATACTGTCTGCACAGGTGCTGTTGCTGGGTAATATCCCTGTGGTCACAGGTTTAGAGATTTCAGAGTGGAAGATTTGTATTTATGTTATGTTTAAGCAGGAACACAGAGAGGTAAATGGATAACAGAACAACGGACCCCAAACACGTGCTCAGATGTACCTGAGAGATTTGTGAAGAACCACATTCCTGGGTTCCAATCACAGATTCTTCCAGTTTGAACCAGGGCCTGGGACTGCCTACTGCACTTTCCAGGTGGTACTGAGAGAGTTCTTGAAGGAAATGTGATAGAGGG